AAAAATCGAGAGCTGCAAGCCCCGAGAAGAAGTGCCTTGTAGCCATACGGCAGAAAAAGAAGCGAGAACAATAAAACAAACTAACATGATATGTTGCTCACCTGGGTGGCACCCTCGCTCGACGGTTGCGCGGCCGGTGCTGTTGGCTGGGTTGGCGCTGAGAGGGCCAAAGAGCCCGGGGCAACTGTGGATGGAGGACTTGTGCTAGTGCTGCCATTACTTCCACTGATGAGTTCGGCTACGTCGGAGCCAGGGGTTTGCGGAGTTTGAGACATTATCTCAGAGCCCAAATCGTGCGTCTGTCTTCAACGGGGTGTTGAGAAAAAAGACGATATCCTGTTGTGAGATAATATCTTTCATGGTGCGCATGAGTCAGGACAGTTCCGAAAGAAGGAAAAGAAAATCAGAATTAAGAGGAAATTCGACAGGCGCCCCTGCGCAAAGAACCTCTCACCCTTCCCCATGATTATGGCACCAGAGGGCTGAAGGGGTCATTTCGTGCAAAGGTTGAACCTCACCGTCTTACGCAATATAAACTCCAAGCTGAGGCTCCTGGCGCAACCTGATTCCTGTACCAGAAACACCCGAGGGAGCAAAGCGGGTGCACAGTGCAGTTCCAGATCGCTTACTCAGACTTAGAATCCACAGTCCTGTGCAGACCTCGATTCCTGTTAACCCTAGAAATTCCACGAGAAGTGGTCAGGAATTAGACTCAAAGAAGAATTTAGACTATAGACTGTGAACATTTTTTGTTCATCATAGAAAATAGTGAATTTCGGACTTGGAGGGGACATGTAAACTACCCCTTATAAGCCCTGGGCTTATTCATCTTCCTAAGGGATTTTATTAGGCTTAGGGGGGTGTTTACATGAGAAAACTCGCATCCCCGCGAGTTTCATACCGGGATGACTTTTTTATTTCGTATCGCGTTTCCATGATGACTGGGTCATTTAATATCTTGTTATTTGAAGGTACCCTTAATTTTTTTAAAAATTATTTTCAACACTTCATTGCAAACATTACAGAGTAGTACAAAACAAAACATTGAATAAATGATTAAATAAAAATTATTACACTACTTTACACAAAAGAGCCATGGTGATTATATAATTAAAACTTATATTAAGCACATCTTGTGATAAGTGGCTCTCATTGCACATAAGTTAGAGAAGGATAACAATAACAACAGGAAACAACACATAGAAACAGTTTACCTTCTCAAAGGAGTTCACGAGTTTGGCCATGCGGGGTTCCAAGAACCCTTCCCTTCATGTTGATAAAATACATGTAAGATTCAAAATTGCAAACATTACGCATGATACCGTTGCTATATTTCGTACCGGAGTGAAATTCTCGCCCCAGTACAACA